ATGTTGCATATTAATGTTAGGGTAAGTATGTTGATAGGGTTTAAATACTGAATTATGAAGTTTAGTTTATGCATCAGTATATAATATGAGATATGAGTGAATTTTAGAAATGATGCATATATACTTCTATAACTTATTTTCAGTGTGATGGTCATCTTACTTAGTTCTCCCTTGCTACTTATTTTTCCCAACACCTTCTATTCATTCTTACGGTTCCTGAAAAATATTAAGAAAACTCTACCTTTCATCACTTGACTGCCTGGCCACAGTGACACATTTATCTGCAGAAATATGTGATTGTATGCATTAAAAGTTTAAGAATATACAGAGTCAACAAAATAGTAACAGTGATTTTGTGGGGTGGGGGGCACCAAGACCTCTAGGAACAAAAAAGCACATTTACAAATAGATAAGTATTTAAAACACTGCATAAATAAAATCTTGTGTCAAATATGATAATTTCCTAGATCATTTCAAACAAAACAATTTGAGGCATTTCTATAAAAAGAAAGGTAAATGAAAAAAAAGGTCTTACGGTGATGATTCCAAAACAATGCTATTAGCTTGTGTTGAAGATGGAGATCTATGACTCACAAATACTTCACTTGGGGAAGTGTGAACCACATGGTCTACCAAATGACCAACTGAAGATGGTCGTAACCGGGTTCCCTCTTGTGTAAATGCAGAATTTCGACTACATAAAGAGGAAGAAAAACAGTAAAAATGTGCTTTAACTCATATTTTCATGTTTCTTAATTATATGATTTCATTAGAAAGTGGGTGTGTGTTTTTAAGCCTAACCTCATCTTATTGAGCTGAATCTCTGACAAAGACAGTACGACGTTAACAGAAAGAACTTAGAATAGGAAGTCAAAGATCTGAGCTATAGTTACCAATCTGCCACAAGGATTTTATCTATTTCAGCCATCTATTTTCTCTACCAACCTTAATGTTTCTAGGTTTTAGTCACTAAAACTTTGTGTCTTTCAAGTTTTAAAGACTTCTTTAAATATTACATTCCATGCCAAAATTCAAACATTTGGTATATCAAACTTTTGCGTTAACAAGAACTGTCAGTGTGCTGTCATTCATTTGGTTACCATTATCTCAATTACATATATATAATACATATAATACATTTGTTAATATTATACAATTAAGATAACATCTTTGGCCAGTACGAGTTTTTTTATCTTATTATTACTATCTACATCAAAGCATATAGTTTTTGTGAGAAATGCTAGAATGAAGTACATACACAGGAAGTGCTGAGTAACACAGCTTCTTAGCATAGCTATGGCTAAGCTTGTGGGAACTGACGTTGGAAATCCCTTTTCCTAGACCATGAAAAATGGTAGAGCAGAAGTTGGGGTAGGAGCTTAAGCAAGAGAATCACAATCACTTAGCATAGTCAAAGAATATATGCTCCCCTAGAAATTATGTCGGAAATATACATGGAAAAGGATTATGTCAACAACAACCATGTCCCCAGTTTAAGTCTACTAGTGGATCTTGATTTTTTGGCTAGCGACTCTTACTGGAAAAATCAAATCTGTAGTTAAGCAAGCATCTTTATTTCACTCTCTACTCTCATTCGCCAAGGCTATTCCATGCCACTTATACAATGATCAGCAGGCTAAGAGGAAATAATAATGCCTTGGAGCAACAAAAATCATGTCTGAACAAAAGATTTAAATTTCACATGTTACGATTTTCAATCAATGGAAACATATAGCCAAAAATTTAGAAATTAGCAAAATGTACACCTGATACTTACTGGTTAGGAGTTCCAGGTGGAGATCGTGATGGAAGGCTTTGTGTTTCTAACCTGTCATCAGATATTGAATTTCTGCTTACTACTTCCCAGTCCATTAATTTCCGTGCCAAGGGCTTACTTGGGGATCTGGAGAAATAATTTAAATAATATGTAAAAACTTTTATTTTTACACCACAAACAATGCATCAAATCTCAGAATTTGTCTTAATAGATCATATTCTAGATAAGCAAAAGTAAAGAGTTTACTAATATGAAATTAATGCATTTGGAGGCTGTTTGTCAAACACTTCCCTAAGAAAGTAAATCTGCTTTATATGAATAAAGAAGTAAAGATAGGCTAGAAAAAGTAGGAAAAAAAATAAGGAAGAGGAGAAAAAGAGAAGAAACAAAGAAAGGAAGGTGAAAGAAATAAAAAACAATGGAGTAGTTAGCTATCAAATGTTTCCGAAAATACTATCAATATTATAGATATTGTCTATTTCTATTTCAGAGTTTCTGGAATTCTAGCTTACTTTGGGGTGTTTTAAACAATTCATAGCATATTGTCACCTGAATGTCCTTAAACCTAAATCCTGATCCTCTGCCTTAATGAGGACAGGGCAAAAATGATAATTATGTACATTACATTTTATTTATACATTTTCCCCTTTTATATGCAGTAGACCAGTGGATTTTTTCTTTTCTTCTTCAGGAGACACTTGGAAGGTTATTTTGTCTCATAGTGGGGAGAAGGATATGTTTTATCACCTATATATTGTCAGTTATTCTAGTGATAAAGATGAGAATTAAATGATGTTTTCAGAAAAGATATTGATCTTTGCAGAGATCAAAACCCCTCAGAATTCTAGGTAAATTAACAGCTGAAACATTCTATACGCAAATTCAGAAAGTGGCCAAAATTCATGGAAAATATGTGATATCTATTTAAATGGCTAGCTTTTTGACATGCAGAGTTCATATGAAGGTTAATATAATAAATTAAGCTACTTACATAAAAACACATAGTAAGTCATCTTCTAAATAACTTAGTTTAGTATTTCAGTAATAAATACACTGAAGCACATAGAAATAGACCAGACTAAAAAGCATGGAGACACTGATCAAGAGTCCTCAATAAAATTTACATACATAGTAGGAAGTATTAAAATGAGTGGGGACCATCGATCCTAGTTCTGACCTTCCCTTAGACAAATCACTAAGGTTTCTACATCTTAATGTATGTATCTACTAGTAAAACGTATGCTCCTAAGGTCCCTCCCTACCTTCTGAATTTTAAGATTTATGAGTATCCAAATTTTCAGTGCAATGTTTTAATCTATTAATTTTACTAAACCATAAGTAACTTAAATTACTTATGAGTCCAAACCACGAAAGTGCCCTATCATTTTATGTATTCATAGCCATAATCTTTTAGTTTGGCCTAATGACAATGCTTTCTTTCCTTTTATTTATTTATTAATTTTTTTGAGGTATAGTTGGCTGTCATCTCATTAATTTAAAAATATTGAACATTTTCTAAAAGAGACATATGTAATGTTATCAATTTTTAAAACAGTCATTGACTAAGATTTCATTTTGCATAAATGAATTCAAAGTAAATTAAGCATAAGCATTTCCCATAGTCATGAGTTTAAATTACAGGATTTTCTGATTTGAGGACAACCCAAGATACCATTTAGTCCAACTCCCTTATATTGCAGTGCAAATGTTCCTATCAGTCACAATTAAAGTAAAAATACATTATCTCATGTATTAGATTTTTTTAATGAAGTAAAGATTATTAAAAGAAATAGCACTTATGGCTCTTCTACTGATGGTAATTCTTAATGTTAATAAACTATTCTTCCTCACACACTGGATTACTAAATGTAAACTGTAAGTGAGTTCACAAACCACAGTCAGGAGATCAACTATTTCATTTTTTAAAAGAGGGAAAGAGTCATTTGAAGGAGGAAAAAAAAAACGCAGTTATACTCACCTAATATAAAGCATCAGAACACTTTACTCTTGTTAAATAAACTAACCATGGTTGGAAAAGCTTTGCATTTAAAACTAAATTTCGAAGTATTTTATTTTATTAACAGTTTAACCTCAGAGACCCACCCACTTAAGCTTGCTGTCTATGTTTCCTGTTGAGTGTGGAAATTTCAGAGAAAAAAATACCACACTTCATCAGTGTGTTTGCAATGTGGTAAATTTATTTTCTGATCATGGCACCTTATTTTTCTGTTGCATGGGAATACTCTTTTGCTTTCTTCTTAGGTATTACATGATAATTGAAAAAGTATGAAAGCAATTCAAAGAGTTTCTATTTATACTGCCAACTAACAGTCCAAAGAGTGGACAAGAATTCTAGAATTCTGTAACACTCTAAGAGAATAATTTAATAATTACTAAAATCATTATAATATTTTGATGGATATGTATCAGATTATCACAATCCCAGAAAAGCTTAGTCTTTCAGAAATAGTAGGATCATAAAAACAGACTATTAAAACCTCATTCTACCTGATAACTTATTACTTCAAGGAAGATTCACACAATTCCAGCATAAAAAAAGAAACAGGACAGTTAATTGGGACTCATTATATTGGAAATTTTAGGTCTACTACTCATTGAATACTGCATATTTGTTTTATAAAATAACCTGTTAGACAATTTCACATTTTAATGATGCATATGTAAAATGAAAAACTAAAACACAAGTATAACTATCTTCATATTTCTCAAAATCTGATATGATCAAAAATATTAAAGCATTAACACATAGTCATTTGCATGTGATATTAACATTAATATATAAACTCTTATGATTTAGTATTCATATTAGGATATTACTACAGTAGAACTAGTTATAAAATCATGTTCAGTATTTTTATAAATATCAAGTAAGGAAAAAAGGTAAGCTTCTTGTTAGGGAAAGAATAAAAAAGTATAAGTATTTTGTTATGGTGCAGTTTTAACAGAAAAGAATCAGAAAAATATTTACTTTGATTTTATCAAGTCTGAAGGGAGTTACAGTACTAAGAACTAGAACAAATATATACATTTTAAGTTAAAACAAAGTTGATAGGAAGGAAATTATTTCTTTCTCAAGAGCAATTTCAAGGAAAATGTCTTCAAATTAAAATTTTACTATACATATTACCTTTGTACAGGTCCTTAGTACTTTCTAACTGGAAACAAGGGTAGCTAAGACTGCAAAAAGGAGGAATTTGAATAATTTCAGTAGCCATATCTGTTAGGATAGACATCTCTGTGTTCTTATTTTTTTCCTTCTTTCTGAAATAACCAGGCCACTAACATGACACCAAGATTGATATTTAATAGAGAAATAGACAATAAATCTAAAAGTAAAGATATAATAAATCAATTTGAAAACTTTCTTGAACAAATACTGAAATGAACTGATCATTCAAATTCAATCAAACTTACCATAGCAAAATGCTATAGCCCTGACCAGCTAAATCTTTCCTGTATCAAGGCATTTTTCACTGACAATTTTCCTGTTAGGTAGATTATTCATAGACAAATCAAGATGAGGGTAAGCCAGAATGAAGAAAATTTTTATTATTCAACACATAAAAATCATGTTTTAATGATTTGTTTCAAATGTCCTTACTCCAAAGAACTCATAGTATTATTTATTATTTATTTTTACAAGCATTCTGGGCATAGTACTGGCACAGCCTCAGACAGTCTTAGCAATGACTCTGGCTCTGGAGACAGATATGTGCCAGGATAAAGGGAAGAATCTTCAAGTTGAATCTACAGCTTAGGATAAAAGGATTTAACTGTTCAAGATTTACTGACATTATAAATGACTAGATTTTTCAACATCAAAGAAAATTCCTGATATGTCAAGTGAAAAAAAAAAAGCAACAGAAAGTATAAAACAATTTTAAAACAAATAAAATATATACATTATACATATAAGTATCTCTGTGAGTGTATACATGGTAAAATCCTGAATACTAAATAACAAAAAAATTTTAAATGACTGTGTTGGGGTCACGTTTTTTCTTTACATTATTTTGCGTTACTGGAACTTTAAGAAAAATAATAAGCTATCCCTTTTATGAGTAGAAAAAACAATAAAGCAATTTCTACTTTTAGAGGAAAGAAAAAAAACAAATTTTACTCTAGAAACAAAGCAGGGAGGTCTTTTGGATAAAGACTAAGAGCAAAATTAAAGTAAAATCAAAAGCAAAATTCTCTTAATTCTCATTTATTAAAACTCTCAGACCTCCAAAGGCAGTAGACTCCAAGCACAAGAAGTCTTAAAGGACTTACCCTCTTTAAGCCATTTTCACTGAAAATACACCGCTTCTTTTAAAGAACATCTACCATATTCCAAACATTAGAGAGTTCTGGCTACTGCAGTGAGTGAAATACACAGAACTCCGGCCCTCCTAGAGCTTACATTCTAGTGAAGGAGAAGGGCAATAAACAGGATCATCTTTCACATCCCTGAGACACGAAAGGAGTCAAGCATTCAGCTCTCACGCAGAACAACAAAAACTACTGTATAAAGGTTAAAGCGTGGGTTAGAACCTGGAATGCCTGGGTTAGAATCCTGACTACATCCGTTACTATCTGTATAATCTCAGGTAAATTATTCAACCTTGTTCAGTTTTCTCATCTGTAATGGATTTATTAACTCATTGAGTTACGGGGATTTTGAGTTAATATACAAAAATTGTCTGACACAGTTAAGTACAAAATAAATGTCAGCCATAATTTGATTAACTGGCCATCCTCTTTCCACTTACCTACTATACAGAGATTCTATCACAGTTTCCAGGTCGATCTTCCACCCTCCCTCATATTTTTATTTGGGAACATTTCAAACATGAACATAAAGCAAAGAGAATAGTTTAAAAAACCCTGGGCACTCAGGACCCAGGTTCAACAACTGTTATCATGGTGAATCATGTTTTATCTCTACCACTTACTCTAGCCCTCTCAGTCCAATTATTTTTAAGCAAATCCTAGAAATCACATATTTGTAAATACTTCAGTTTATCACTCAAAAACAAAAGAATTCTACCACATTTTAAAAATGCAAGTCAGTTTATATCCCTTCCATGCTCTCAGCCCCTAATGGCTTCTACTGAAAATCCTAAATCCTTATCATTTCTAACCTAGGGCCGTTCAAATTCAGGCTGCTGCTTTCACTTTGTTTTTTGGGTTTTGTTTGTTTGTTTTTTTTAATTGAAGTACAGTCACTTACAATGTGTCAATTTCTGGTGGACAGCACAATGTCCCAGTCATGCATATACATACATATATTAGTTTTCATATTCTCAAATTCAGGCTTCTTCTTATCTCTCTAACCATCTCCTCTCCCATTGCCTTGTTCACTCTGGCCCATTATTGGCCAACTCTTCCTGAAACATAACAAGCAGGCTCCAGCTCTATGGCCTTCCACTGGCTCAGTCCTTTACTTATATTAGGTATCTGTTGCATCATCAGAATTTAAGCTCCATGAGACTAAGATGTATATCTTATTCGTCATTGTATTCTCAGGTCCTGAAACAATGCTCAGCAGAGTAGGTCTTCAATAAATATTTGCTGCCACCAATTTGGTCAGTCTCCCTCTGTCAGAGCTCTGCATCTGATTATTTAACCATCTACCGGATAATCCTATTAGATTGTTGCTTGGGCATCTCAGACTAGACCTGTGCTAGCTTAACTCCTTTCTCCATCACAAATTTGTTCTCTCCTGTAACCCCTATCCATTGTATGTCACTCAAATCCAATAGTCTTTTCAGATACTCCTGTATCTCACAGACCTCCACCTCAACAACTCCTGCTAGTTCAACCCACAAAAAATGTTCCTCAAATTTGTTCCCTATTAACCATTTCATTACCAATGTTTTAGTTCAGGTCTTCCTCACTTACTTTTGGATTACTGCAATGATCCGATGGTCTCTGGATACCCAGTCTTTACTTTTAATTTATTCTCTATTCTTGCTCATAAAACTTTTTTCTAAATCATAAATCTGATCATGTCACCTTACTCATTGAAAAGCAAACTGGTGGCCTTTCTCTTGCCTTTTGAGATGGCCTACACTCTTGTCTATGGAGAGTGTATCTACTTTTGCTTTAAACACACTGCCCCCATGCCTTGTGGTCTGTCTAGCCTTCTGAAATGGCCTACACTTGGTCTATGGAGTGTACATCTTTCTGAATAAATCTTCTTTTACTCAAAAAAAGAAAAAAAAAGACAAACTGGCTATTATCACATCTTAAAAAACAAAGATAACAAAATGGCACCAAAATAAAAAGCAACTTATTTCTTAACATGAATTAAATAAATACAGAAATGGGCTAGATAATATATGAAGTGAGTCATCATGTTTCTTAAAAATGTTAACAAAAGGGAAACAAACCTTCCAACAAAATGTTATATTAATAAAATAATGCCTGATTCAGCCTAGTCAGAGCTATAATGCTTGGCACAGGATTAATTTAGCCCACTAAAAAAAAGTTTGAGTAAACTAGACAAACTGTTTCATTATTCCCTCAACATAATTTATTGCTTACTTGAAGAAAGGATCATGTGATAATTCTGTAATCATATTTGGAAAAAGAGCTTTTAATAATTTTAACATTGCTTTTAAAAAAATTCAGAAACTGAAACAGAAGTGGCTTACCTTGCAAATATCCTGTCTTTATTTGCCTTTTCTTTGCCATACTGAACTGACTGGACTTCAGTTCTCCCACTGAAATACATAAGACGTGCAATAATAAAAATCTTAAAGAGAACTATGAGATCAAATGACAATATACAAGATGACTATATTACAATTTCATAAGAGACAAGCTATTTCTAGTGGAGAAAAGGGAGCAGAAGGTAAAAGGAAAGAATGACTACATTTCAGCTCTATGTGAACAGATGAAGCTTAATTACATTTCTTCCATTAATGAACAATGATGTGCTACAATAAAACTTTGTTTTCAGATATTCCTTTGTTTGGGAGTGACTATGAAAGAAATAATTTTGTATGAGACGAATTCCTTCTCTGCTATGCCATGGAAAGGCACTTCCACTAGACTCAGAGATAGGTTGCTATGTCCCAGCTCATCTAAGCCCTGCCCTCATCCCATATGTCTGTGCTTTGGCTACTACTCTTTAATCAAGGGCCTGAAAAATTGGGGGATCTTGAAGAACTGCTTTTTCCTTGAGCAAGCTTTCCTTCCTTGTCTCCTGATAATGATCATAGGTACAGCCTCAAATCCCTCCATGCCCAGATACAGGCAACTCCAGGTATTTTTATATAGCAAATAGCAGAAATATGGCTGGGAGTTGGGCATGACAGAGGATTTGTTTTGAAGCTGACTTGACTAGCAAACACACTGTTCATGCATGGGAACTGATCTTCCTCTGTGGTACTCCAATGTGTTCTGAACAGATTTGTTTGTAAAAACTTGGTTCTCAGTGAATTTGTTGCTTGACACATCACATTATTTAAGAGTGAATGAACATAAATGCCTAGTATATCAAATCTAACTATTTACAAAGAAAGAAATCTAATACATATAAAAGCAGCCCAATAGAGGTTTCCAAAGCTAAGCAAACAATTTTAAGATCATCTTCCACGGATAAGTATAGATAAATGTGAACAGAATCTGTTTGTTGCCATTTTAATGTAAAAGTCAGAAACATTACCACAATTTTAAAATTTAGGTAAGTTGAAGTTTCTTAAGAAACTATATTTCCTCTAAAAAGGTAAACTGTACTTACAATTGTGAACCAGGTAACGGATTAAGGTTCACCACTGTTTGTATTCCTACATTAAAACAATGATTGTAATCCCCTGTATATTTTGGAACAGAGATAAGAAGGGTGTGTGTGTGAAGAGTTTGGTAGAGGAAGTAGTAAATCCTCTGATATTCCAAGTTCCAACTCTCCGTCTTAATAATACTACATTTCAAGTATTGTAAAAGTTCCAGCACTCCCAACCACTGCTTATTACGAGGAAAAAGGCAGACAGTTAATGTGTATCCATTAGTCATAGGACTGTGCTCAGATAAACATTTGTCATGCTGCCATTCCTACCTCATTGACAAGATTATTAATCATTTTGATGATTAAAAGGTATTTTGGATATGTAAAGGACTATAAACATAAAACTTAGCTGTTACAACTATAAACATACATGGTTTACTTATATACAGTAATTTAATTTAAGGTCAACTGAGCTGTTATAGGCCTCAATCCTGTCCGTCTCTGCTCTCCTAAGTTTTCTAGAGGCTGTG